CCTTATATGCGAGGTATTTCTGGAAGGTATACACAGGAGGAATATCTGCCGCACCATATATATATATATATATATATACACACACACACACACACATATATAAATATATATATATATAGCTAATACTTTAAAAATCAGGGAGTTGAATCCGCTACCTTGGTTTCAACCTTACGGTATCTTCAGGCAATTTTTATCAAATTACCTCTTAACGCTTTATTTTTTTTTTTTTTTTAAATATTAATGAACGCTATATTATTATTTTCAAAAATAAACAAATGCACAACGTTGGGTGTAATAGAAAGGAAAGAGGAGGATGTGAAGAAGAAGAAGGGGAAAGAGAAGAAAAGCAAGGGTATTATGAATGTATTGGTGTGGGGTTAATTAAAATGTACATAATTTTTTTTATCTAGTCTCAAATCTCTTTAGGTGGAACTTTCTAAATATGTAAGCAAGAACTCAAGATTTCGGGTTTCTGGTTCGGCAGGTTCTTTGGATCCGGAAATGTCATAATTGCTAATTAGTCCAAGTGTGTGTGTTTGAGAAGCCAGGTGAAAATGAATGCGAGCTCCATAGGATAATGAGTCGGACCAACATAACAAAAATTATCATCCTAATTTTGATGAATACAGTGCTCAGCAGAATTAAACTCGAAAAAAGAAAAAAAAAATGGAACAGTTCAGTTTCGTTAAAGATACTGGAACAAGGAATGCTATATTTATATGAGAAAAAGCAATACTGATATAATGCAATATGCATACACATGAGTTCCCCCTCACTGGAATATGATTGGCTGGTGTCCGTCATAAATACAGACTGATGTGTAAGTACGACAAAATTTAAGTCTATGACGACGCCCATTGGACTACGCCGTTGGCTATCCTATTGGTCTACATCTATTACCTGCGACTACGACGAGTACCAGTCGATTACTGCTACCATGTACCACTTGGTTACAGTAGCCAAAACCACTTAGCTACTTCGATCAAATATATCCCTTTCCGGGACATATAAAATACAAATGCAAAAGGATGTATACCTATGTTTTATACATTATGGAAAAGCGTTTAAGGTACGATACAATGAAATGTTTGAACTGCTAGGTAAATGTAATTTATTAGTGAAAGATATTAGAATAATCCAGAAACTATACTGGGAGCAGTCCGCCTTCATTCGAATAAAAAATGATTTCAGTATATATACAAATATAGAAAAGGGCTTAAGTAAAGATATGTCTTCTCCGCCGACTTCTTCAACCTTTACAGCCAGGTCTACAAAGATGTAGTTTTGGCAGCAATAATCTTAACAACACAAGATATGGAAATGGCACAAAGATTTGATAGCAGACACACACAGAGACAGAGAGACAGAGGAAATTCTAGGAACGCCTACAGAAAGTAATAAAAGAAATTGAAAAGAATAAACTAAATATCAGTTGTAAAAAAGAAAAATGTATGGTTTTCAGCAAGAGAAACAATCTGAGATGTAAACTATGACTGTAAATGCCGAAAACGGGCCAACACGAAAATTTAAGTATCTGGAAAGTGTTTGCGAAGATGATAGAAAACAGGACACCAAAATCTGAAGGTACGTTAATATCGTGGTATATGCCTTCCAAAAGCTAAACATATTTTTAAGAAACAGGAAAATTCTGCTAGGCACAAAGAAAAGAATACTGAACTGTTACGTAATATTGGCTCTCCTACATGGCAGTGAATGCTGAAGAATTTTATTCTAAAGAGACTTACTTGAAATATCGTTCTACGGATTCTGAGAATACCATCGATTAGACATGTGAGTAATGAGTAAGTTTTAAGGAAAATACAAACAAAAAATACGCATGTATATAGAATCAGAAAGATACTGTTGAAATATCTAGGTCTTCAATGGGGAAAGAAGACTTGGAGAATTTCACACACAAAAGACTTACTGAAGGCAAGAGTGTCAGAAGGGAACAGCGAATTCCTTACCGAACTGCTTGTGCAAATGATAACAGAACAGGCATTGAGAAGGAGGCTGGAAAGGTAAGGCTTACCTGTAGCAACAAATGATAACAACTGGTGGGGAGTTAAACAAATATATTAACAGAAACTGTTAATACAAACATATACAAACGAGAGTGTTATAGTAAGAATGTCCAGTCCGACTGCTAGAGCTGACTGCTGGAAACTTCCCACCCAAAAGGCAGTACCTGCTCCTATTTATAGCTGGCAGACTCCATGCGTGGGTGGGTAAATTACCATAACACACACACACACACACACACACACATATATATATATATATATATATATATATATATATATATATATATATATTGTACAATAGATTATTATTTTATGTAATTTGATTTCTGATGTATACAAAATTTCTTCCGGGTCTGTCTATATTTCTGAGATGAGGTATTATGTACACCATTTACATTATTCGGACTATTGTCATCATCTTTATTACAACGTTTCGGCCGTTGTACCCTCTGGCCTTCCTTAGGTGTTTGGAATGTCGAACTGAACCCTTTATTTCGCTCACTGGGGTAGACTGTTCTAGTTCGACGTGCCATGTTTAATGGATGTCCGTTATCAGCTATCTCCTGTTAACCTCCCTCTGAAAGTTCTCCACTGCCTTAACCGAGTATTGAACTCACGCTCTTTGGGTCCTGTCACTGGATCTAACCTCAAGGACACATGGTACAGTGGATAAAGACGTTGGTTAGATCCAGTGACAGGACCCAAAGAGTGTGAGCAATACCCGGTTAAGGCAGTGGAGAACTTGGAGAGGGTGATTAACTGGAGATAACTGATAACTGTCACCCATTAGACATGGCACGTGGAACTAAAACAGTCTACCCCAGTGATCGAAATAAAGGGTTCAGTTCGACATTCCCGGAGCGTACAATGGCCGAAACGTTCTTCCGGATCCTTGACAGAGACCTAAGGTCAGAAATGGCTTCATGACAGATACTGCTTGTAAAAATTAAACAAACAACAACCTCCCCCCCCCAAAAAAAAAACACGCGCACACACACACACACACACTAAGATAACACACGTTTTACATAGATTCGTAATATGTGAGCCGTGCTTGTGAGTACAATTTTTTTTACGACATGAGCTACCAGAAATCCCTTCAATGTGTCTATCGGAACTTTTTCCAATAAATCCGGGGGCTGTAACTACAACTGAAATTATTGATGTTATCATATGCCACATTTTTTTAGATTTCCACTTCAAGATCTTTGTATTTTGATAGTTTTTTTTGAAGATCTTCAAAGATAGATTAAACTCTGCAGGGGCTACCATGTCAATAAAAAAGCACATTCTGTTCTTGTGAGTTTTGATCACGATGTCTGTGCGATTAGCTTGGATTGTTCTGTCTGTGTGTATTATAAAATCCCATAAAATTGTTACAAGTCCTATCTCTGTAACTGGGTCTGGGCGATGTTCATACCAATTTCTTGCAATTTCCTTGTCGTAAAAGTTGCATATTTTCCAGTGCGGATATTGGCCCACTCTTTCATGCCGTGTTTTATATTCAGTGCAACCTGATACAAGATGGTTAATTGTTTCTGGATATTTATCACAGAATCTGCATTTTTAGTTAACAATTTTTCAGTATGTAGGCGTGGTAATTTCTAGTTATTATTATTATTATTATTATTATTATTATTATTATTATTACTGTTTTATTTCCTTTGATTTCTGGTGTATACTCATTTCTTTCCGGGTTCCGACCAGAGACCTAAGGTCAGAAATGGCATCATGACATTTTCACTGAGCAGTTTTGAAAAAAAATCGCACATATTTTACATAGATAAAACCCTTCATAAGGTGTAGGCTGTACTCGTGATAACAATTTTTTTTTGTATTTCTTGTAAGGCATAGACTACCAGGAATCCCTTCAATCTTTTCTAATCAATCCGAGGGCTCCAACTACAACAGGAATTGTTGATGTTCCCATGTGCCACATTTTTGAGATTTCTATTTCAAGGTCCTTGTATTTTGACAGCTTTTTGAATATCTTCAAAGATACATTGCAGTCTGCAGGGACTGCCATATAAATAAGGAGGCACATTTTTATTTGCGGTCTCTAAAAACGATGTCACTTTGATTATTCTGTCTGTGTGTATTATAAAGTCCCATAAAATTGTTACATGTCCTCTCTCCGTAACTGGGTTATTATTATTATTATTATTATGTTGGTGTCGGACATTGACGTATTCACTGGAAATTCTATTCTTGAGGCACGGTGTCAACAACACTCCTCACAATTTTGGAACTTTTCGAAGATTCCTAGTAGAGTAAATGAAGGAACTTTTTCTGGAGGTCTACTGTTCTCCCAAAGTACTTTTTTCACTTTTATAGGTTGTGTTCAAATTACACCACTTATTACAGGAATTAGTTCTACATTCATGTTCCATAGCTGCTTCCACTCCTGATCCTATGCTGTAATTATGAGACTGTTTCTCTCATTGGAAAACCACATTTTACCCCAAGCCACTTCTCAGGTTCAACAGAAAGTCTGAGAAAAGTTTGCGTATATAAGGCACTATTCAATTTTGCATGACGCTCTAAATCACGTCGGTTCTAAGGACGGTTTTTTTTTTTCTGCCAAGAAGGATGCGGGTTCGAATCCTGCTGGAGAGCGCATATTTTTCTTTCGTAAGATTTCTGCAATAATCAGGTCAGTAGACAAAAATAAATAAATATACAGTTTAATAAATAATCGTCTACTGAAATACGGGTATCCACTAAAAATAGCGTTTAAGTAATGAAATTTGTCAGGTAAATAAAAATCCATCACTTTCTCTCTCTCTCTCTCTTACATATATATATATATATAATGCATATAAGGTGTCTGAAAAAATATACTGACTCTTTAAATAACAATAAATAAATTAACTGTTTAAATTAAATGCATATTTATAAATATTCAAACTAAACACTATCACTTTCCAAACAAAGCCGATAACGCTTACCAATGAATTCGACGACGTTACGAAGCATTTCATCTAGAACTTCAGGACATTATCTTACAATTTCCTCTTTCAGTTCATCGATTGTTGCTGGTTTTGTGCAATCAACCTTATCTCTCGTGTCGTGGGGGATTATGGATCTCCACTACTTCCTAGCTCTTATTGCTTTAAGTAGCTCTTTCCATTTTGCCACTACTTTCTTTCCTTGTTCTGCCATCCTGTCAAGAGGTGATTAAACCCGCTCTTCAAAACCTCCAATCTCCCGATCAGGGGCCTTGCTGCCGGATGCAGTTTATCGTCATGCCAAGGACTAATGGAGCATTCATTGGCTTATTGTCAAGTAGCTTATTATCTGTTTTTTCTTGCTTCTTTTGCCTCTAATATATTCTAGGAGTGTTACATTCTCCAAACTTTCTTTCCTCATTATTTAACCTAGAAACTTTAGCTGTTCCTTTCTGATTGTTAACAGAAATTTCATTGTAGTTCTTATTTTCCTTTAAACTACTTGTTGTTCAGATGTACTGTCCATGATATTCCCACCCTTGTTAGAGCCGAATCAGTGTCAAACCTTACAACTCCACTATAAACCGCACATGTCTAACTTTTTTTTCGATTCATTGTGATTTTTAGTCTTATAAGACCTAAATTCATTATTAGATAATCTATTAAGTGATAATATGTCATTAAATTAGTAAATCTAACCTAACATTTATGTTACGAAAAAAAATTCTTAGGATTTTTGAAGTAATGTCATTCTGCTTTCACAATTGTATACATGGTAGATGATACTCAGCTTTTGTACATATAGATATTTGTGCAAACATCATTGCTAGAGCCGGTGATAAGTGTGTTTTATGTTGTAGTTAAAGTTATATTTTGGAATACAGTTTGATTTAAGAAATTGCAGGATGTATTTTTATACTTTCATAGTGTTTTGCTTTTAGTTGGGGGTTCACTATTTGCCCAGAGCTGGGATCCTAACAGTTGCTACCACCCTGGGTCAGGGCGGACCTAAGAACAACAGCAAGAGGTGATTAAACCCGCTCCTCAAAACCTCCAATCTCCCGATCAGAGTCCTTGCTGTAGGATGCAGTTTATCGTCATGCCAAGGACTAATGGAGATGAGATATTACACAGCAGTTCACCCTTTCTTTCTTTGCTACTAATCATATTTTCCTCTTTTTTAATACTTAGTTTAGTTTCTGGAAGTCATCAATATCTATCCAGATTTCTGTGTTACACTCTCGGTAGTCTGTTACCCTGCATATTTACAGATATTGACGTTTCAAGCGAGATTGTTAACTGTAACATAACGCAACTCCCATATTCTAAGCTTAACTTAAACTTAAGGTTACATTAATGTGGAACACAGGGAAATAGGAATTCACTAACTAGCGATCTGAAATGATAGATTATCTCACGACTGTCAATAAATAGTGTCTCCAAGCCTATAATGTAATTAGTAACGAATGTATGGTTGTCAGTAATAAAAATAGCCCAACATGCAAATTACAAATTGGAGATGTCCTGCTATTTATCCATAGCTGGGGAGAGAGAAGAGATAGATCTATACCTTTCCCATAGCTATTAGCACGTAGTGAACTCGAATTTCCGATTCCTCAATCCGAGACGCAATCCATTACTCCAACGAGCTTCCCGCCTTTTCAAACACGCCGCCATTTTTCTCTACTCATCCATAAAGAACATATTTCGTTTACTTATGATCTTCTGCTACGTCATTCGGATGAAGAATGTTGACCTTTCAATTCCTCTATGAATTACAGGAATAACCAGAAGTCTAATGCTGCCAAGATAAATACGGAAGTTGTGCAACAGCTTTGAATTTCACACATCTCACTGCTTGCGTCTTTTGTTGTCTGCAATAGAATCTTGCATTGTCTGAATGCAAAAAAAAAGTTTTACTTTCGGGACTCTTCAGATTATTGAATTTCGATTGCTGCGCAACATTCTACTGCCAAAAATCGATTGACTGATCGTAGTAATCATCTGTGCACACTTCTGGCCTTCTTGTCCTTCTGCGAAATCATTTTCTACGATATTCTTGAAAAATATGTGTGTATATATCTAGCAATACGCTCTTAGTTTTGCATATCATTTGGTTTAGTGGTTAAAGGGAAATTTTAGTTTAAATTTTATTTCAAATTTTGCTTTCTCACACTTTCTATCAAACGTATGTTTAAAATGCCACCACATACAGCATTAAAACTGTCATATCATTCAGTCCTAATTCTAACAGTCACATTACCCTAGAACAACATTGCGTACTTCAGACAGTAGCAGACATGCGATTACTATATTAATGTAGTACATTGCCTAATAGGGCTAATTATTACAAAAGCCAGGTATACAAAGTTGCAAAAATAGTTATCGTCAAAAGGTGAGACACTAACACTTCAAGAAGTCCTAAACGTTTCTAAGATCCATGAAGTTTCACGGAGCCAGATGAAGCAGCTGAGATGAAATGCAAGGAAATTAGTACCTGTAAATGAATATGTATATCAAGCTTTTGATAACAAGCTTGAGCTGTGTCTCTTGCTATCTCGGCGTTTGACAGGATTTGGCATGCTGGTCTTCTACATAAGCTTCAGGGCTACGGTATTACAGGACGTTTATTTGATTTAATCCAATCATAGCTATCAAATCATGAAATAAACGTCGTTCTGAACGGGCTCTCTTCCAGATCCATTCATACGAACGCGGGTGTTCCCTAAGGCTCCATCCTGGTCCCTATAATATTTTTGATCGTCATCGATGATCTTATGATTTTCCTGATCGCATCAGTTCCCAAGAAGACATCTATGCTGATAACACTACCATTTACTCTTATATCAATAGTAAATCCGGCAGCGCTAAAAAAAAACTTGGCTGCTGCTCTCGAAAAGGACCCCTAATCAGTGGTTAACTGGAACAAGAAATGGCTTGTAAATTTTAATGCTTCCAAAACTAAACTGCTCTCATTTAGCCACCAGAGAAAAATTTCCCTGCCTACCATCAGCATGGTTGATGCTCGACTCCGTTAGAGTATCTCACTACACCTACTTGGCTTCACGTCTTCAACTGACTTAAGGTGGAACAAATACATTGAATCAATAGCTGCATTTATTGCAAGGAAAATTGGTTCACCGTGTCATGCCTGAAAGTTTTTCTAGTCAGTCCATCTTACACATCTGCCATTCGTCCGTGCATTGAATATTATCGCCATATCTGGTCTGGTACCCCTGCTGTTCAGCTCGAGGTGCTTGACAAAATCCAAAGAAGGTTCTGTAATGTAATCAGTCCTGACTTGGCATCTCGGCTTAAGTCACTTTCTCACAGACTTGGTGTAGCTTTTCTCTGTCTTTTCTACAAATATGTTCATGGTAACTGCACCGATGAGCTTTTTTTTTTCCCTGGTGCTCCGACTGCATGAATTTAAGCGTGCTACTTGATTCTAGGTACCACACTTTTACTGTTAAAATAGCGAAATGCAATCGACACTTCTACTCTAGTAGTTTCTTTTCCCGCACTTCCCGACATTGAATCTACCTTCCTCTTACTTGCTACCCTGATAACTACAATCTTCAAAAAATTAAATGCAACGTCAATCGCCTATCTTCTGTTGTTTTGATCCCCGTTTATCTTTGAGATTTTCTTCAATCCACCCATAACCTGTCTTTTCTCTCATTTTCATTTTTTGTAGCCCACTGCGTGCTAGTGGCACTCTTGCCTTAATTGTGGTGAAATGCTTAAAAAAATAATTATAGCAAAATAACAGATATCCACCAGCGCGCCCGCGTCGCAATTTGATGTGACAAAAGGCCGTGGTTTAAGGTGGGTATAACGGCAATACCGTGGAAAAATTCAAAATCCGTCTCGGCGCTTCCACTTTTAGGCGCCGGACCATAAACCTAGGCCGGAGAGAAAAATACTGTCTGGGGAGAAAGCCCCATAGGGCTTGGGCTTAATAAAAGAACCGAAATCTCAACCAAAGGTAAATAAAAAAAACTGACTGTTTATATTTGGTTTATTGAAATATGTGCAACAAAGGATTCATTTTAAAAGTTAAACATATCATTTTTCAGCTAAAAATACCATTTTTCATTGTATAATTCGGACTACTTTCTTCGTCCTTCATGTAAAAGAATTTACATATGCTTCATTTTTTATTATATATATATATATAATCTTCATGTGCGTGTGTAAATTTTAGTTTCCGATAGAATGTATCAGAAAAGGAAACAATTAATAAAGAGACAAAAGGAAAAACTATTCTATTCTTAGCCAAGAAACTATTCTAACTATTCTTGGCTAAGAATAATTTTTCTTGTCTCTTTTATATATATATATATATATATATATATATATATATATATATATATATATATATATAATATATATTATATTCAAACACTACTGGGATCTGGTGGATAAGGGACTAACCCTGCATTTCGAATGGAGATTCTTATCAAGATCTAGAACCCCTAATAACTTCCGCGATCGGTGTGATCTATGCATTGCGGGAAAATTTTTCTTATTAAAGATAAAAATCAAGATGAGTTGCTAAATCTTCGTAGTGAGATGATTTTCACATGTAGACATAAAAAAACGATTTAAAACATAAACACGGTTTTACAGCGTGTTGTTACCTGTAACAGTTCTATCTTGAATCACTAACATCGTACATGACATGTAAATGGTATGACTCTTAGGATTATCTATATGTATCATTGTGCATGTTTTTAAGATGCTTTATATATTCTTTGATCATTTAATTTGGGTTAGCAAACTTTATTCATGTGTTGATATATATGTATGTGAGTATGTAGGTAAAAGTTTTCCTAAGTAACTGATACACAAAATCTGATAGTTTTCTGATATTTATATAAATAGGTATATATGTAAAAGATAGATACGCGTTAATCACTCCGTGGTTTTTTAATATTGTTAACGTTTTCTTCCTCAGTGTTCTTTAAGTACAAATTAATTTAACTCCACCATTTTTATGTTAAATGTATATATGGATGGATGCGT